AAATTGTTTTGACATTTCACAGTGATATCATACTTTAACTTTGTTTAAACCAGTTTATTTACTTTTGACTTTAATTATTTATCCCTTGTAATTTTTATTAACTGTGTATTTGCATTCAGGTGTCACAGGTCAAATTTATTCGTTCATTGTGTGTTAATTTACGTTTTTTGAATGAGTTAAGCCTTCCAATTGATATTTTATAGTGTGTTTTTCTATGTTGTGATGTTATACTTTTGTTTCAGAAAAGGGAGAAGGTTTGGTACCATTTAAACGTTTACTCCCGCTGCAAATATTTGCACCTGTCCTTAGTCAGGAATCTGATTACAGTAGTTGTCGTCTATTTATGTAGTTCATACGTGTTTCTCGTTTCTCGTTTTTATATAGATTAGACCGTTGGTTTTCCGTTTGAATGGTTTTACGCTAGTAATTCATTGGGGCCCTTTATAGCTTGCTAATCGGTGTGAGCCAATGCTCCGTGTTGAAGGCCGTACCTTGACGGTTTACTTTTATAAATTGTAACTTGGATGGAGAGTTGTCTCATTGGCACTCATACCACATCTTCCTATATCTACGACGTGATAAGTGGGCGTTACAGACGAACGTTCACCTAATCTAACCCAGTCAATGAGAGACCTGGCCGCGCCAAGAAATGGTCTCGTCCTCACAGTTATGAAAACGATTATAATATAGCCTTCAAAGTCTGTTGATATGAACATTAAGATTGTTTTTTGCATGTTTTATATGACATTGTCTGTTTGACAGTCCGTATTTTCACAGAAATTATTGTAGTGTTTTTAAACAAATATTTGACGCTCAAATTTTCCAAATCTATTTCATGAAAAATGAGGTGTAATGCATATGATTTTACATACAATTTACATGTACCTATGGTATATAAATGTTGTCATTTGGTAGGGTTAGATATGATATTTTTATGGGTTCCAGTTGTTGAATACGAGTTTCGGTGTATTTGTTTGTTGAAACTTCTGCATGGCTTAGTCTTTCTTTATGCCATTAAATCAACACGACATTCACACAACGAATACGTCTGTTAGAACGCTTTGTATATGTATTCTATTACAAGGAACGCATACTCCATAATGTACTTCACTACAGATAAGTGTCTTGTTTAGTTTAGTTCGCAGTTCAATCCCTAAATCAACAACCAACAATTTATTGAACGAAATCGGTCTTGAATAGTTTAAAGCATCACGCTGAAGTAACATATTTGTGATAAGGACATCAAACAAACGTTGCATGACAGATAAACATTTAAGCACACGTAAATTAAATCTCCTGGAAGACGTTAATGTGATGTTGTCTGGTTCAGTTCCTGTGTCACAATCGAAACCTTTTGTAAACAGAAATCAACAAACTTAAATATACATGGTATAGTGTGTATAACATGTGTTTCTCTCTTATCAAAGTTAGGCTACGGTATTTTGCTTCTTAATTAGGGTTATTCTTTGATAGAAGGTAAAATGAATGTCAAGTAGAACTGCTCATAACAAAGTTATATAACACGTATTAGTTAAATAGTTGCAAGGGTTTCTGGCAAGGAACGAGAAGACTGCTATTTTCGTGAAATTTCTTAATCGAAAAGTTGTAATTCTATCAAAAGGAAGTAATAAAAATATTAGCTTGGAACAGGTGCAACATAAAGAACAGAGAATAACGGGGTGCTGAACATTAAAGAAGAGAGAACAATGGGCAAAATAAGTAAAGAATAGAAAAAAAATGGTATAAAATTAAGGAATAAGGAAATGAATTGAAGGACCCCCATCTAGACCATTATAAATGTATTACTTACCAAAGATTTTTAGCCATAAACTTGATTGTTTTAATAGTGTTGGGGTTACCTTTATGCTTTATTTGCAGCAATAACAGCCATTGCTTCATTATCGACAGAAAATCATACGGACGTCGATGGGACGATTCTGATAACATTAAGTCCCAGTGGACAAAACGTTTAAAAAGTAAATGGACGATGGTGCCATAAAATGCAATAGCTCGAATAGACTTTTGAGTCTAATGAGATAATAATGTATATGACAGTCTTCATAAAATAATTGAGTGTGTCAATCTACACCAGTTGTCAGGACTTTCCCTGAGATAGCAATTTATAGAATCGGGTCAATAGCTTTACAAACATTAATTAACGTATGTTTTTTTTTAATATTTAATTTTATTAAAAACGTTGAATTCTTATCTTTTTAGCAGGAACAGTGACATGTTAGTCCAATTTCAGATTACTATGACTACTTTTCCCCGATTGAAATCCAAGACAGGATTAAAAATGTTTAAAATTAACTTAATAATTGGTCAGTTTGAACCAACATATACAAAATTTTACCGAGTAATAATGAACCACTTAGTGATTATGAACTATTGAAGAGGGTTCTGGGATAATAATTTTTCGTCAATTGATGTAAATCCCCCAAAATACCAATGATCTCCTTTAAGACAGAAAATATATTTACTGACTGTCTATGTACATCAGCTTTTAACATTTTTTCTACTAATAATATCTTTTATATATTTCAATGATTCGATTATCAGTGTGTGGTGCATTCAAAGAGCTACAACTCAAGTGAATCAAACTATTTCGTGCCATTCATGAATACTCCAAAGAAGGCACATTACATTTTGAATGATATATTTACTAGCGTACTAAATTATAAGCTTTGTATCGTGAGTGACTTTTTTCTGTAGACAAATTGATCTTAATGAAATTATCTTTAAAGAAGTTATCAATAAAAAACTGTGTGTATAGTGAAAAAATTCGTAAGGGTTCCGCAGAACCCAGTGTCTCTCCTACTTTTGCTGTTAGTCGCAGGCTCAACAAAAATGGGGAAAAATTATTAAACATTTTCCTCTAGATACTATCTTTTGATTGTAAGTTCTATTCAAGTTTGGTAAAAATCCAAGAAGGTTTATGAATCTAATAAATGTTTTAAAAAATTTAACCGCAGACTGTACGTAATGTTAACTGGAATAAAAATAAGTCCATTTATAAGTAATATACGGAAAAACAGGAAATAAATTTTTACAAAATTTCCTTCAAGATACTAGCTTTTGATCATAAACAAGCTTCTGTCCATGTTTGGTACAAATCCAGGATAGTTTAATAAATTAAAGGTATTAAAATTTTGAAAGCTTTAACCACAGAGTTTATGTAATGTTAACTAGCAGAAAAACTAAGTCCATTTATAAGTAAAATACGGATAAACAGGATTTTTTTTTAACAAAATTTACTTTTGAATACTTTCTTAGGAATAACAAATAAGCTTCTGTCCAAGTGTGGTGCAAATCCAGGATAGTTTAAGAAAAGTCGCAGGCTCGACAAAAATGAACATATTTACCCTGTCGACGCACACCTTTTGGAGTTTATGCAATTCACATAATGCAATTCCCTCAGTTTTGTTTCTTACCATGATTTGTATCTGTTTTGTTCGATTTATGAGACTTGAACATCGGTTAGTTACTGTTGCCGAAATTTGCTTTATATTTTTAGAAAACATTGTGTTATTCAAACATCAAGTTTCATCAACGTTTTGTAAATTTCATGCGTCCGAAGCGTTTTTCTGGATTTACCTTCATAAGAACGCTCAAAGCCGAATATATGTAAGCCAAATATGTATAAGAACCGAATCAGTTGAAGAGCTTTATGATCAGACAGGACACCCGTCTGAGGTCAAATTTACCTGATAGAGTTGAAACCTTAGTTTCTTCATAATTATTGCAAATTTTATAAACAGACAATTTTAGAAAGGTTTCTTATAAATGAGAGGTATGCTGAATATTTCCATTTTTCTGTTTGTTCAAATTGGCTAAATACCTTCCAAACTAACAAGGTTCATAACATTTCGCCAGTGTTTAATATTCTTACAAATTTTATATGTTGAATTATTATTAAGGTATTTACAAATATGGCCAATTTTACATCACAAACGTTGATTACAGACAAACATGTGCACCTAGAAAAATTTTAAAGCATGACTGGACTACACATACAAAAGTTATATGCATTTATGTTTCAGAAAATAACACACTTCGCTGGATTTTGAAGTTATTTTGTCAAGACTGCAGAAGATGGTTTAACAAATAAACACCTGTATTTCACTTGATACAGTCCACTCATTTACAACGTTTATATCACCTATTGTTGTGTCGATATCCATTGTTCCTCTATTGCCCATGTCAATTACTAGTTCACTACAATTATGAAATGGGGTGACCTTCTCTAGCATTGCTCCCAACTTACGTGTATTTTTGGCATCTTCTGTTTGATCGAGTTTGGACAAAAATGTCTCGACCCTCAAGAAGTCATAGCAATGGTTATTTACGTAAAAAGAAAAATAACAGAAATACCGAACTCCAAGGTAAATTCAAAACGAAAAGTCCTTTATCAAATGGCAAAATTAAACGCTCAAACACATCAAACTAATTGAAAACAACTGTCATATTCCTGACTTAGTACAGCCATTTCCCTATGTAGAAAATGGTGGATTAAACCTGGTTTTATAGCTAGCTTAACCCCTCACTTGTATGAGAGTCATATAGAATTCCGTTATATTGACAACAAGATGTGAACATGAGACACGTACAGTGAGCATGGTGCTTTCCCTACAAGAACATCAGATAAAAAGTCCACTTCCAACCTTTCCATATTCGGAATGACAAAATGTCTGCTTATTTGTTCTTCCAGCCAAGATCCCAAAAAAAGTGCAGATAAATACAATATTCATTGTATACCCGAAGCATAATATATTTATGCAATTAAGCCTTACCATAAGCCAGCCATTATACGTTGAAAAAATTTCAATAGAAATTAACCTTATGCAGCATATCTAAATATCTAAAACCATCCACAATAAATTGCACTTAAGTAAACAAAAACATAAAAAAAATAAACAATAAAAATCAGGCATTCAAACTTAACTTATCTAATAGAAACGTCAAATAATACTGTAAAAGTACAAAAGCCAAGAAATAGTACGACAAGTGTAATAAATATTTATTAAACAAGCATAGAATTTAAAGGAAAAAAACAAAAAAGATCACATGCATATAAACTGGACGGAAATTACGAAATCTCTAAGAAAATCATTGATCACAAATAAAATATTTCTTTTTTAAAAAGAAGTAACACAAAGCTTAAATCCAAGTAAATGGTCTAGTAAAATGAACAGACGATAAAAATGCATAAAATATCTAATATTGAACAAGTGGCATGCACTGCATGAAAATCTATAATGATTTCATTCACTTTAAATAGTTCCAACTTTTCAAACTAATCAAGAATCAAATAATTTACATAATCTCGCAGCCAAAACAACACTGGTCAGGATAATCAGGAGCATGAACTCTACAATCCAAACCATAAACATAATAACTGATAAGTTTGTTATTATGTCTGTACTCGCATTTTGTCACAGGGACCACTTTTATCTTATGTCGCTGAAAATATAACAATATTTAGAATGTAAAGAGATAGTTTTTGTTGCAAGACTTTCTTAGTGTTATTAATTTGACTTAATGTAAACAAAAGGTCTTATTTCTTTATGATTATTGAACAGTTTCTTTTTTAATTGCTTCAAGCAACTCAATGGGTGTCACGAGTGCAACAGGAAATGTTTACTCTTCCGAAACACCTGAGATCACCCATCTGCTTTTTGGTTGGTTCGCGTTACTCAATTCTTAGTTCTCTATATTATTGTGTGAACTGTTGCCAGTCTTTCTTCGTTTCTTTTGAGCGCAGTATTGTCATTTTTTTTCATCCACCTAAAATTTTACTATCCTGTTGGAATTGGCATCTTCTCGCTATTTACAGGAAAGGCAGAGTTGATTTAAGGTATGCCGGGATGATAAAAATATCCTGCTCAACATACGGCATCAACCCAAATTAAATCCATCAAAACAAATGGTTTTAATAACTTGACAGCCCAATGTGTGTATATAACATCTAAGGCAAACACGCATTGTAATAACGTACCTGCATCAAAATAAGAGAATGTGGGAATTTCTGTTCTGCCAACAAACGAGTGGAGGCTGTCATAATTTCAGGATCTGGAGACTTCGTTATTGGATATAACTGAAAAGGAATGGTATTCGATGTAGTCATAGCATGTCTAGTAATATAATGCACACATATGCCAATGAAGCATTGAAAAAAAAAATCTTCACAACATCATAAAATATTTTGAAAAAAACTGTTTCCAACTGAAAATTCCTGAGATATAAGTTTCCAAGTCTTAAATATATATTAAAGTTTAATATTCAAATATGAATATAAGGAGATGTGGTAAGATTGTCAATGAGACAACTATTCACCAGATACAATAAAAGGTCCACCGTACGGCTTTCGTCAATGTACAAAACCCATACCGTATAGTAAACTATAAAAGGTCCTGGAAAGACAAAATGTGAAACACTTCAAACGAGAAAGCAATGCTAAAATCAAAATCAAAGTGCAATGTGACATACGACAACGAGAGACAACCACTGAATTACAGACTCCTGACTTAAGACAGGCACATACAAAAAGACTTGATACCAAAATAAGGATAAACGAATCCGCTCTCTGATTTTAACGTAAACAAGGAAAAATAGAATTTAACAACACAGACATTAGTTATGCCGCTTTGTACACATACTTCAGTCTGTAAACAATTGTATATTATATTATTCTTTGATGTTTCTAGCAGATATATAAAAATAATATTCAGTTATTTTGTTCCAGTGAACAAAGTGAAGATAAATAATTTTCACATATACCTAGCAGTACCAATCGAAAACAAGATTGTGTTCATAGTACACGGGTGACCCACTAGCAGTATCATTTTCTATGTTCAGTGGACCGTTAAGTTGGGTCAAAACTCTAATTTGGCATATAAATTAGAAAGATCATATCATAGGGAACATGTGTACTAAGTTTCAAGTTGATTGGACTTCAACTTCATCAAAAACTACCTTGACCAAAAACTTTAACATGAAGCGGGACAGACGGACGAACGAACGAACGAACTAACGGACGAACGGATGGACGGACGGACGGACGAACGAACGGACGCACAGACCGAAAAACATAATGCCCCTAGGTGGGGCTTAAAAATAGCTTTTAGAAATTTCCCCAGGGTGATAACATGTCAAAGTACTCTGATCTTTTATCTGCATTATAACATTTAAATGCTACAAAAATATGAAATATAAACAAAAAAATATATGTTAATGTGAACATGTTAACCAATTATGTTTTCAACTTTTTATTACAAAACATTCATACAACACTAATTTCAATATGTTGAGATGTAACTGTGAACTTTCTTAACATTTCTCCGATTGAATGTAAAAATGTTTTTCAAGGTCCAATATTAATAATTTTCGCAGACGATTATTGGGTTATTTCGCTTCATGCAAACATTTATGTTTTTTTGTAAAACTTGTAAAATGTAGCCATCTAAATTAAAGTAAATACATTAGTCTATTATATGCGTGATGAAAGTTCTTGATATTAAATTAGAGACAACAGTAGTTTACTGATGTTTAAATCAGATAAATAGAATAAAGAAGACACAAATCATGGTAGAAAAAACTGAGGGAGCATGAATTCATGTAAAATTATTCCCCTCTTACATGCATATGTAAAACTGAATACATTAGGTTTATGTTCTTTGTGAACCTTTAACATGACACTGTATTCAATCATACCATTGGTTGTACATCTTCGAAAGCTATTGTTCCAGGAACTCTGCTCACAAGTACTTTTGGAACATTGGATTTTCCGACAACATGATCACCTTTATAGGTTTTCCTGAAAGTAACAATATGAATATACATGAAGCTCATGAGGTTTTCCTTAGCTTCATATATACCAAAACCCTTTAAATAGTCCAGCATGCATTGCAGCCGTTTGACATTTCATTTCTTTAGGATTTTGATTTTTTCTTCTTAATCACAAATTACGTATAATTACAGCTGCTAATAATCTCGGGGACTAACAGTTCATTAGTAGTGGTATCGGTCCAGTGTTAGCAAATGAAAATTACACTTTATAAATTTCGTAAATTTTTAGATGCTTAATCGATCACTTGTGTAAACGTTACAAAAAGACATTTAAGTGTGTGAACTTATCATCACAGATCGCCAACCTTTACACAAATATGCATTCTAAACAAAAACAAACAAGACTGAAAGAATTATAGTATAATTTATATTTCTTTTATATTATATTATGATTTACAGGGAAAAAAGTAGATATTGGTCCTTGTCCAATAATTTGCATTTACATGTACTGAGATAACCATTTTATGTCACTCGCATGCGATGGTTCTGTGTGTTGGTTAACTACGCGATACTGGTTTATGTTCATGTAAAATTCAAGTTACTAACCATGTAACCAACAACTGAATGTACCATTTCAGCTTTGTTTGTCCCTGGCAACTTGGACACGTCACTCGTGCAGTTCCATTACAGCGTGAGCAACTAAAATATTAAAAAAAGGTACTATGATTTTTATTACCTCTAAAATTAGAATGTATTTTGTTAAAACAAAGTCTCCTCCTCAGAGTGACGTACATAAATATCATAACTTTTAGTTTACTTTGCATTTCTCGGCAGTTGTGTAACTAAGGCAAATAAGAAATACAAATCAACTAAATATTAAGATCAATTGAAAATGTTATAAAACATATTTTGTATTCACATTAACCCCAACTAAAAAAAGTATTATCAAACACTAAATTACCAATGTTAGGTATAAATAGGCCTTCTCATTACCAATGTTAGGTATAAATAGGCCTTCTCTAGAAGGATTGTATTGTGCGTTTGCAATCATGAGAAAAAGGGCGGGTATCACTTGTGAAGTAGAATCTTCTTATCCTTGCGGATTTTTGGTGGGGTCGAGTAAGACAGTCTTTCATGTTTTATGTATTGTCTTTTCGTTGTTCTCCGTATTTTGCAATGTTTGTAGAACTCTCTTTGACTTGATTTGTGTTATTTCTTTGGTAACTTTTGTATCTATTTTATGTAATTTGTCGCTACGTTGACACTTCTTTCGATTGTACAATTGATACTTACGGCTTTTTGCCGGATCCACCACATACATCACAGTTGTGCACTCCTGCTCTCCATACACCCTGACTGTCCTTAACACGCTGTTGTCTCCTTCCTTTTCCTTTACACATACCACAATAAAGCTAAAAGATAACAATGTAATTATGTAGACATAACAAAGACAATAGTACACAGTAAATGAAAAGATAATTTGAATAAGTCATTACAGAAGACAATACTCTTTATTTCATACAATAGATAATAGCAGTAAACCACCACGTGTATGCAAATAGAATAACAAAATATGACACTGAGTCTCTAGATAAATGAAAAGAACATAAACTTTGATGGTGTTTTTTTTTTTGCAGTTCAAAACCGTTAGGTATGTATTTGTCTGATGACGCGAAATTAATATTTCTATTTACAAATGAAAATCTGTACTTTTAATAAAAGTTTTATACTGCAATGACATTTTAAAGAAAACTAAATGTATATGATATTGCTTATTTAAATTTTGTAGATTATGTACATATTAAAGATTGTCTCTCGTAACTCGGTTTAGAGTGGCTCTAGCATATTATATGTCTATATTATATAAATTACTGGTATGTTTTATTTAAATCAAATTTAGAGGTTGGACTCAAATAAAGTATTGTCTTGTCTATCAAAAACGGGAGAAATGTTCTATTGATTCAGATATACATACCCGTCCTCTTCCTTCACAGCCAGCACATATAAGAAATCCACCAGCTTGACATCTGTGACAAGGCTAAAACATGAATCGTTTATATTAGGTCACTCCCGCCAAGAAAGGCTATTTGGTTATAGAAAAGACGAAATTGACGAAATATTTTAAAGAACTAAACGTACATTTACAAGAGATCAAACTTCTTTTTTTAACCACAACATGAAATACGAGAACAACCTTTATTTATGGTAAAGAAGTATAATCCTTCCGTACGAAAACCAATAGACTTGATTAACAAAAAAAACAGGAGTTTGATTTCACAATACCCTTATTGTACAACTATTTTTCAAATGAAACTTATAATTGCTTATATAGGACACAAAACATTGTGTTCTCTAAACAATGATGAAATACCTTATGTTTGGGCATATGGGTGATCTCGGTGCCTTTATCTATAATTTATAAATAATATGCTGTTACCATTTGGCATTTGGTTTAAGCTTTTTCAAAACATTTCCTCTATAGCCCAATCAACAACATGTATAGCTCAATCACAATAATTACACTAAATATATGTATCTACTTCTACAACATTATTTGGTGTTACAATCAACACATATGGTTTGAAACTGAAATAGTAATATTTGTTTGATATACATCCTTGAAGTTGTGAAGAGAAAACGATTAAAAAAAAATGTTTGAAATCGTCCAAAAATTAGGATTTTTTTCAATAAATATCACAGATTATTTGTGGCACAAACGTGATGAAACAAATCGGATATGAAAAGTCAACAACTGACTTTCAGTCAATCTAATACAAACAAACACAATTATCTTTACACAATATAAATAAACAAGTACTTACCATATGCCAATCTAAACAAACAGACTTTTACCCTTACACAATATAAACAAACAAGTACTTACCATATGCCAATCTAAACAAACAGACTTTTACCCTTACACAATATAAACAAACAAGTACTTACCATATGCCAATCTAAACAAACAGACTTTTACCCTTACACAATATAAACAAACAAGTACTTACCATATGCCAATCTAAACAAACAGACTTTTACCCTTACACAATATAAACAAACAAGTACTTACCATATGCCAATCTAAACAAACAGACTTTTACCCTTACACAATATAAACAAACAAGTACTTACCATATGCCAATCTAAACAAACAGACTTTTACCCTTACGCAATATAAACAAACAAGTACTTACCATATGCCAATCTAAACAAACAGACTTTTACCCTTACACAATATAAACAAACAAGTACTTACCATATGCCAATCTAAACAAACAGACTTTTACCCTTACGCAATATAAACAAACAAGTACTTACCATATGCCAATCTAAACAAACAGACTTTTACCCTTACACAATATAAACAAACAAGTACTTACCATATGCCAATCTAAACAAACAGACTTTTACCCTTACACAATATAAACAAACAAGTACTTACCATATGCCAATCTAAACAAACAGACTTTTACCCTTACGCAATATAAACAAACAAGTACTTACCATATGCCAATCTAAATAAACAGACTTTTACCCTTACGCAATATAAACAAACAAGTACTTACCATATGCCAATCTAAACAAACAGACTTTTACCCTTACACAATATAAACAAACAAGTACTTACCATATGCCAATCTAAACAAACAGACTTTTACCCTTACACAATATAAACAAGCAAGTACTTACCATATGCCAATCTAAACAAACAGACTTTTACCCTTACACAATATAAACAAACAAGTACTTACCATATGCCAATCTAAACAAACAGACTTTTACCCTTACACAATATAAACAAACAAGTACTTACCGGCATATGCCAATCTAAACAAACAGACTTTTACCCTTACGCAATATAAACAAGCAAGTACTTACCATATGCCAATCTAAACAAACAGACTTTTACCCTTACACAATATAAACAAACAAGTACTTACCATATGCCAATCTAAACAAACAGACTTTTACCCTTACGCAATATAAACAAACAAGTACTTACCATATGCCAATCTAAATAAACAGACTTTTACCCTTACGCAATATAAACAAACAAGTACTTACCATATGCCAATCTAAACAAACAGACTTTTACCCTTACGCAATATAAACAAACAAGTACTTACCATATGCCAATCTAAACAAACAGACTTTTACCCTTACACAATATAAACAAACAAGTACTTACCATATGCCAATCTAAACAAACAGACTTTTACCCTTACGCAATATAAACAAACAAGTACTTACCATATGCCAATCTAAACAAACAGACTTTTACCCTTACACAATATAAACAAACAAGTACTTACCATATGCCAATCTAAACAAACAGACTTTTACCCTTACACAATATAAACAAACAAGTACTTACCATATGCCAATCTAAACAAACAGACTTTTACCCTTACACAATATAAACAAACAAGTACTTACCATATGCCAATCTAAACAAACAGACTTTTACCCTTACACAATATAAACAAACAAGTACTTACCATATGCCAATCTAAACAAACAGACTTTTACCCTTACACAATATAAACAAACAAGTACTTACCATATGCCAATCTAAACAAACAGACTTTTACCCTTACACAATATAAACAAACAAGTACTTACCATATGCCAATCTAAACAAACAGACTTTTACCCTTACACAATATAAACAAACAAGTACTTACCATATGCCAATCTAAACAAATAGACTTTTATCCCTACACAATATAAACAAACAAGTACTTACCATATGCCAATCTAAACAAACAGACTTTTACCCTTACGCAATATAAACAAACAAGTACTTACCATATGCCAATCTAAACAAACAGACTTTTACCCTTACGCAATATAAACAAACAAGTACTTACCATATGCCAATCTAAACAAACAGACTTTTACCCTTACGCAATATAAACAAACAAGTACTTACCATATGCCAATCTAAACAAACAGACTTTTACCCTTACACAATATAAACAAACAAGTACTTACCATATGCCAATCTAAACAAACAGACTTTTACCCTTACACAATATAAACAAACAAGTACTTACCATATGCCAATCTAAACAAACAGACTTTTACCCTTACACAATATAAACAAACAAGTACTTACCATATGCCAATCTAAACAAACAGACTTTTACCCTTACACAATATAAACAAACAAGTACTTACCATATGCCAATCTAAACAAACAGACTTTTACCCTTACACAATATAAACAAACAAGTACTTACCATATGCCAATCTAAACAAACAGACTTTTACCCTTACACAATATAAACAAACAAGTACTTACCATATGCCAATCTAAACAAACAGACTTTTACCCTTACACAATATAAACAAACAAGTACTTACCATATGCCAATCTAAACAAACAGACTTTTACCCTTACGCAATATAAACAAACAAGTACTTACCATATGCCAATCTAAACAAATAGACTTTTATCCCTACACAATATAAACAAACAAGTACTTACCATATGCCAATCTAAACAAACAGACTTTTACCCTTACGCAATATAAACAAACAAGTACTTACCATATGCCAATCTAAATAAACAGACTTTTACCCTTACACAATATAAACAAACAAGTACTTACCATATGCCAATCTAAACAAACAGACTTTTACCCTTACACAATATAAACAAACAAGTACTTACCATATGCCAATCTAAATAAACAGACTTTTACCCTTACACAATATAAACAAACAAGTACTTACCATATGCCAATCTAAACAAATAGACTTTTATCCCTACACAATATAAACAAACAAGTACTTACCATATGCCAATCTAAACAAACAGACTTTTACCCTTACGCAATATAAACAAACAAGTACTTACCATATGCCAATCTAAACAAACAGACTTTTACCCTTACACAATATAAACAAACAAGTACTTACCATATGCCAATCTAAACAAACAGACTTTTACCCTTACACAATATAAACAAACAAGTACTTACCATATGCCAATCTAAACAAACAGACTTTTACCCTTACACAATATAAACAAACAAGTACTTACCATATGCCAATCTAAACAAACAGACTTTTACCCTTACACAATATAAACAAACAAGTACTTACCATATGCCAATCTAAACAAACAGACTTTTACCCTTACACAATATAAGACAAACAAGTACTTACCATATGCCAATCTAAACAAACAGACTTTTACCCTTACACAATATAAACAAACAAGTACTTACCATATGCCAATCTAAACAAACAGACTTTTACCCTTACACAATATAAACAAACAAGTACTTACCATATGCCAATCTAAACAAACAGACTTTTACCCTTACACAATATAAACAAGCAAGTACTTACCATATGCCAATCTAAACAAACAGACTTTTACCCTTACACAATATAAACAAACAAGTACTTACCATATGCCAATCTAAACAAACAGACTTTTACCCTTACACAATATAAACAAACAAGTACTTACCATATGCCAATCTAAACAAACAGACTTTTACCCTTACACAATATAAACAAACAAGTACTTACCATATGCCAATCTAAACAAACAGACTTTTACCCTTACGCAATATAAACAAACAAGTACTTACCATATGCCAATCTAAACAAACAGACTTTTACCCTTACGCAATATAAACAAACAAGTACTTACCATATGCCAATCTAAACAAACAGACTTTTACCCTTACGCAATATAAACAAACAAGTACTTACCATATGCCAATCTAAACAAACAGACTTTTACCCTTACGCAATATAAACAAACAAGTACTTACCATATGCCAATCTAAACAAACAGACTTTTACCCTTACGCAATATAAACAAACAAGTACTTACCATATGCCAATCTAAACAAACAGACTTTTACCCTTACGCAATATAAACAAACAAGTACTTACCATATGCCAATCTAAACAAACAGACTTTTACCCTTACGCAATATAAACAAACAAGTACTTACCATATGCCAATCTAAACAAACAGACTTTTACCCTTACGCAATATAAACAAACAAGTACTTACCATATGCCAATCTAAACAAACAGACTTTGTCCCTTACACAATATAAACAAACAAGTACTTACCATATGCCAATCTAAACAAACAGACTTTTACCCTTACGCAATATAAACAAACAAGTACTTACCATATGCCAATCTAAACAAACAGACTTTTACCCTTACACAATATAAACAAACAAGTACTTACCATATGCCAATCTAAACAAACAGACTTTTACCCTTACACAATATAAGACAAATAGGCACCTACCCTGACGGAAGCTGTATGTGGAACCTCCATACTGCGAGTCTCAAAATCCCTAAACTGTTCTACCGCGGTCAATGGGATTCCCCAAGGGTGTACTGGAATCCCATTTTCTGGTCCGTCTATAAATTGTCCTGTAAAAATACAAAAACAATGTGACTGATAAAATCTTTTTAAATTTCAACCTGAAATCATTCTCATAAGAAAACTCCGATCTACAGAGTGGTAGGTTAATTACACATAATAATTTCAATGTTTCTGAACAAAATGAACAATTATATTTATACTTTATAATACAATTTGTTGCTTCCTGCAAGAATCAATTAAGAAAGGTATAATTTATATCATTAACTATATTAATTCACTTCGTAGAAACGCGAGATTGCCGTACAAAATTATAAGCCTGGTATCTTTGATATATTTTTTGTAACCGATCACTCGATCCTGTTCTAATGTTGAGCGCTATATCTGGTTTTAGTTTAAAATAAAAATCAGATGTTGTGGATAGTTTTCTTTTATCACTAGACATATATTTTTTTATATATAGATTTAGCTGAAACTTAAACGTCTAGCAATCAATGGTAAGAACATTTCCAAGTTAAAGGAGACATGACACGATTTTTAAAAAAAAATTTTTTATTATTAAATTAATAAATATTAGTCTTAAAACATGTTTTGTACAATTTTGCTGGTCAAAACCTGATAAATTAGCATTTTTCTGGTCAAAGAATCAAGCGCTTGTCATTAAGAATGATTTTTAATTAGATAACGATCACGTGATCGTGCTTACGTCAGTGGTTACAAGTTGGGAAAATGTCTCTTAACTGGACGATGTCGATACACTATGGACGGTATTGACAGCACTTTTCCAGATTACTGACAAACTATAAAGACATTGTGTGTAAAAAATAACCAAGAAAAGGATATTAATTCTTCATGCGAAGAGTCCAAAAACGACGATTTTTCAGACAATACCGATCGGATTGTTACCATACATATTTGGTTTGTCTGATGAATAAATTTAATAGACCGCTTTCTGCATTTTTTCATTTAAATAAAACTACTTTTTAGTCATGATTGAAAATATAAATTTCTAATTATTGATGATCAAATTGTTCTTTTCTTTCTCTCTGTTACGGTAATGTTATAATTATGTGTGCGCCAGAAGCAGGAAAAAAAAAACGATAGTAAAAGTCAAATCAGGCGTTCGCAAAGTGTCCGTTTTTATTTTTTTTTATTACATAGAGACTTTTAATAGGTATAAATTATCACCAAAAGTTATGCTTATAATTTTTTTGGTTGGAAACCATACATCACACAAAGGATTTGTATAGTGAAAAATCCTTTATCACACTATTTTTGCATTAGGATATTCAATTAACAATTTTATTACTTTCCCCCTTTTATGTAAACAATTAAATTCAATATTTTATTTACGTCTCATCTAATGTATAAAATTACACAATACAAAACATTTATTGGAGGCTGTTGTTTTAGTGATTAAATGTTGACACCTATAGCATACTTGACCAGGTAAAAGGTAAGAAGGCACTTGTAGTGTAATTTAGTCACGTGTTATGTTATTTACCTTTAAAAATCATACATTTCTAAGAAAAACTATCTTATGTTGAAATAATTAATACAGTTATGATACTACACTTCTAAAGTATGCTATTCAATCCAGACCCTTATAAATCTAACTTCAAATTTAAGGAATTACACAAAGTAAATTCAAATTCACTTTTTTCCACCCCTCTCTTCCAAATATCATTTAGCAATCAATTTGTTTATTGCTACCAGGAAAACGCTTGAGTCCAGGAAAATATTCGCAACACATAATGTTCTTTTTCAAAATTTTTTTTATAAAAGGGGTCATTTGAATAAATGTTAGATTTTCAATCGAACTGAGCAGGAAAATGTTTACATGTAACATACTTCAGTCTTCGAGAACATGAGTTGTGTATTAGCTGTACTTGGCTTTGATCTAGCTAACAGTATTTGTGCGTTGTCTCTATTGTTTTAACGTTAGTGGTTCTTCGTACCGATCTTTTGCGTTAGACTGGTTTTTATAATTCTTATGTACTGCTGTAAGACCACTGTCACATGTTGGGACGTGGAGAGGGTACCGTAGGCGCTCACAAACATATACTACCGACACATTTTGAATGTGCCTGTCTTAAATCAGGAGCATATAGATCAGTTGTTGTCGTTGATTCATGTCTGTCAATTTTTTTTTCTACGGAAATTATTTTGTTATAAAAAAGTTAGTTTTCTCGTTAAAATTGTTTCACATTTTCACGTTGAGAACTTGTAAAGCCGAATATACGGTATGGGGTTTTCTCATTATTGGAGGCCGTACGGTAAACGACACTTTCTTCATTTATTATAAAGTTTCCATTTTAAAAAGAAATGTTTTTCATCATCTGAATCTTTACCAACTAAATAGTTGTCAATAATTATATTCGATGTTCAATATCATAAAATTGAGAATGGAAAAAGGGAATGTGTCAGAAAAAGAATGTAAAAGACTTATGATTCACATTCTCGTATCATTTCCTTGTTTGCTTTTATGCTTTATGCCTAACAATTTCTTATGAAGTTATAGACTTGCAAGCATACAAGAATATTACTTTTCCATCTCAAGAAGTCAAATAAAAAATGCATCTGTTATAAACCTTTTTATATCTGCATATTCTTAAAAGCAATAAAAATAAGATCTATATACAGGTTGTCTATTAGTTATCAACACGGGTTAGGGAATTTAATTGGTGGTGCATAGGGTATTGTATGGTCGTACTACAGGTATTCATTAAACATATATGATCAGGTAGTTGTACCTGTTTTCTGTACACAACAATAATATATTCCAATCTCACCTGTGCCCTCGGCAATACCAACATCCAGGATGTACACAAAGAGCTTATGAAGTAATATTGCGTAATCACTATATGTCTTTATCAATCCCCCATGTGGAGTGACACTTGAAGTTTGCAACTTCAAACGAGACCTGAAATTGCGAAACTCAATCATCTGTACCGTACACCTGTGACCTATGATGAACTCATGGCATGGCACCCGAGACCCCAACTCTGGAATCCTAATGAAAGTAGGCGAAAAGAAGTGTAGTTTGGGCTTGTTAAGAAGTCCCATCTTTACACCTTCTAAGTCTGCGTGTCATTCAAAAAACAGAAAATATCATGTCAATATTATTTTTAATTATATTGTTGATTCCATCGGCATCACACATAATCATTGTTTATCACTGTCATGCGTTTTGTTGGATAATAATCGAAACTAAATTTGTGCTGTACCCATATGCCAATATGAATGAATGTAACCACTGACGTAGTAGCCTCGTTCTGAGTGACTTCCGGGATGGAAATATGCATATTTGACAGGTCGATAAATCGTTGCATTAAAATCTCCGATTAAAATACATATTTTCCTAAATAGTTGACACTTATATTGCTATCGATGTATTTTTGAGGAAAGTTAAGTATAAATAAACATTTTGAAACACAAATTGAAAATCGTGTCATGTCTCCTTTAAGATAAAAATAAACCGGTATCAATTGAGTAATTTAGGTGACTGGTCCCAAGTATTTGAGTTCAAGATCTGTTATTGCAAAAAAAAAAAAAATAATAGTTATGTTCTCTTATGTCGTGATAAAGATATTTTAACTGCTACCCTTATTTAGGTACTTATCATGTTCTGGATATAAAAGTTGATATGACAAACTAGATTGTACGAATAGACTATTGTGCATACATCGTAAAACCTTTAAATTAATTGTGACAAGGTTTTCATGTACCTCTGAATGGTTCCATTTGCCACTGTGTTGATCTAGTTTCTGTAAAGGTTTCCAGTGTGTACTGTGAACAAAATGTAAAAAAACAATCTTTAATAATTAGCGGCGGAGGCATAAAAATGACTTGCATTGCTGTACCGAATAAATAGTGTATCTTTACAAAATATTGTTTTTTCTTTTTATCGTTAATACTGTTGAAAAGATTTTTTTTTAAATCTCTTCAGTTTTTTTTTTTTTTTTTTTGTCGTTTGGTTCCCCATAGAGGGCAAGGCTAATTCTCAATGAATCTAACAAAATTTTCTGCTGAAGGGACATACTATCCAAAACCAAAATGTTTTCGGACGTTTAACTTTGGGGTATTTTTTGTTGTTTTTTTAGACAGCAATTAATTGATTTTGGTGTTTTTCCATGCAGAATTTTACGAAAACATCTAAAATGTTCATGATTGTATCAAAATTGTCTTCGGCAGCAATATAAAGGACAACGAATATCGTGTTTATTTTATTTATGAACATGAGATAAATTAGAAATCTTTAATGTATATTAAACCCTTTTTTATATTTAAATTCCTCTAAGTTTTATCAAATTTATGTTTGTGACAATTTGAGTGAAACAATTTCAAGCAAAAATCGCAATTATACCTTTTTATTTTTTATTTCATTTCTAAAGATGATAATTAAGACAGAACATAAGTATGCACTGGCTTTCTCCCCAACCTTTCTCCCCCTCCAAAGGGTGATTGTGGAATAGAAAGATGGTTACTCCTTCCGACCGGCAGTGAAACACTTGCAAAAATGGGGCGTCCGTTTTGCTGTGGTGGATATACTGGTACACAGTCACTTCCGGTCAGAATGGGGACGTTTAATCCAATGCCTCGTGTAGAGATAGTACCACGCTCTCTGCACATTTAGAACCGTTGCAACAACTCTTTGAGGATTCCGAACGTGGCGTGTTGCAAGGCAAAAATTCTGTCCCTATCCAATCATATCCTAATTTTCCAGTGGCAGTGCAAATTTTCCCGACCTTCATCCCAGATGGCCCCTATTACAGGACATACCTTTTATATTTATTGTTAGTTTGTTCTTGTTCTGAACATGCATGAAACATTTGCCACGGGACGTTAAGCAATCAACACTCAATCAATCAATCTCACACTTTATTGATCATTGGGCGTGTTGCAGACTAGTCTACTTCAGCGCATCATGACTGCGATATGGATTCAAATGAAGAAACTCACACAATCACGGTAAATTTGAAGCATTTAAATCAATACTTGCGTAACAAAGGTTAAGGGAAAGGCTGTTAAATACTACAAAAGCGTAACAGTTTTCAATGTATGTGTTTTTCGTTCAAAATCTCCGTGTCATAAACGATATATTAGTTACATGATATGTTGTTGAAGATTCAAGGTTTTCAAACGTTGTTATTTTATTGGCTGTTCCCTTTCCCCAGCAACATTGTGTTTCTATGTGGTCAAGCAGTGCTTTCTTCGCTCTTTCGTGTGATATAACTGGAACCCTTAAAAGATAATGGAAAAAAGTTTATTATTTTTAGACATGTCTTCTGTATAATAAGCACAAGAAAACTGTTTTTTTATTAAAAAAAAACAAAACAAATATCCGTAATAAATAATTTTTAGTCATACAGACATATAACCAAATCCCCATTCTTTTAGTTATGACTTAAACGTTTCCCTTGCATGACATGTTTTTAGATTGCACGAGTACTATTGAAACTTACTCTTGCATTTCTGGTTGTTTATAAGTAGCTTTATCCGGGATATTTGTTGCCAGTGGCGGCATTGGCGGTGGAAGTGAGCCTGCAACAAAATATATGTTAAATAGTTAGATTTCAGTTATGTAATGTTATAGGTTTCATAAGTATAAAATTTAATAAAATTAAATTCTCGATGCTAAAATATAATCGGAATAGTACTGATTATGTTAAGGAGATATGTTGTCTAAACGATTTACATCTCTCTCTCTATATATATAGCAGTTAGCGGGGTTTAAGAACATCCGTTGGTAGTCAGCAGGGTTTAAGAACATCCGTTTTTCGACCTGCTAGTCAAATGCGTTTTGTTAAAATATACTTTTTCACTTTTTTGGTCTTTTGGAAAATGTTGTTTGTGCTGTATTTAGATCCCTCTACCAAGAAATTTGTTTTGCATGCACACGTATAAAAATTGCGGTTTTTATCCAACGCAATCATAGGTTTGAACGTTGTTTTCAATTTAGAATTGTTTATATTTTTTCGTTTGGGCTTGTAATATATTTGCCTTCGGATTTATATGATCCGTTCATCCTATTTTGGCACTTCAAAATTCAAGAGTCTATCCTAAATTGAGGTAAATTAAATAGCCTTCCAAATACCGTTTCGATTCCTAACATCACTGAAAAGACATTAATTGTCGAAATCCGTATATGGTGTACTAATTTTTATACCTTTTGTTTGTGGTATACCATCTTTTTCGCAAGTTTATTGTTTTCTGTTTGGTATTGAATTAATAGTTAAGATCCAATTTGTTACATCTGGTGATCCGTTTATTTGACAATCGCCAATTGCAGTCGGCATGGTTTAAGAACATCCGTTGTTCGACCTGCTAGTCAAATGCGTTTTGTTAAAATATACTTTTTCACTTTTTTTGGTCTTTTGGAAAATGTTGTTTGTGCTGTATTTAGACCCATCTACCAAGAAATTTGTTTTGCATGCACACGTATAAAAATTGCGGTTTTTATCCAACGCAATCATAGGTTTGAACGTTGTTTTCAATTTAAAATCTTAACTTAAATATTGACAGAAAAGATATACTTAAATATAACTTGAATAGCTATTATATAGTTTGGATTAAGTTTTCGTCACTTATAGAGTTATATATATATAAATATTTCATATGATAACACATTTAAAAAAAAAATTTGAAGGCAGTATGGTTGAATTTTAACAAACCGTCTTTTGAAAGACACAGCATTCTCTGAAGAACATTTGTTTTTATTTTATTCATAGGTTTATCTTCAAATGTTTCAGTTTTCTCCTATTAATGTGTATAATATATTTTTACAAATTAATTTGGTTGAAATATAAAATTATAGTAAATTTCCGGACTAAGAACAATGTTTATAGCATCAAAAAACGATGGGTTAAATATTTGTTTTGATATCTCGACTCTAATCGAGATATTTAAATCTCGATTAATGGAGTAACAAAATGTACATATGTAAAGCATCTTTTTCGCGACGATTAAGATTTTGTTTGCAAGGTTGACTGGGAATGTGGTAATTGTTTAACTAGACGTATCTAAATCGGGATCTCGCCCTGGTTTTGGAATGATATTACTATTGATTTATTGTCTTTCGACCCTGTACTAAAATAAAGAAGGCGGAGACTTCTGCAAAAAACTTTGGACATCTGCTTTGTTTGGCAATGTCATATACACGTTTAGATATTGCAGAAATTCAAGTTAAAAGTCACAAATGCTTTATTCAGTATTTGTGTATATTGAGAGCGAAAAAAGTCTGCTACTTATATGAGGATTTTAAGAAATACTTAAAGTAGTTGTCATTTGTTGCTGTATATCTTATTTGGTTTTCGTTTATTGTTTTGTACATAAATCAAGCCATTAGTTTTCTCGTTTGAATTGTTTCACATTTGTCATTTCGGGGCCTTTTACAGCTGACTATGCGGTGTGGGTTTTGCTTATTGTTAATGGCCGTACGGTGACCTATGGTTGCTTACTTCTATGTCATTTTAAAAATAAGGAGATGAGGTATGATTGCCAATGAGACAACTTTCCACCAAAGTTCAAATGAAGTGGATGTAAGCAATTATACTCAACCGTACGGCCTTCAACAATGAGAAAAACCAATACCGTATAGTCGGCTATAAAAGACCCCGACATAAAAAATATGAAACAATTCAATTGAGAAAACTATTGGCCTTGAATTTATAACAAAACAATTTACGAAAAACAAATATGACCGACATGAACCAACAACAACCACTGAACTACAGGCTCCTGACTTGGGACAGGCACATAAAGAATGTGGCGGGGTAAAACATGTTTGTGAGCGCTCAACCCTCTCCTAACCTGGGACAGTGGTGAAACAGCACAACATAAGAACAAACTATAAAAATAAGCTGAAAAAAGCTTAACTCATCAGATCGATACAAAGCAGAACAATCAAACAAAAACACAGACCGGACGTGGCAGGGTATTTATCTATCCCTCATCCCTAACAACAAAAAGGACACTAAGTTCAGATCTGAGAGTACTCGCAGTTACTGAAAGCTAGTTCAAAGCCAATAACAACTAATAAAAATATCATGTATCTAAGACTAAAATATCAATCAGTACACATCATCCAACATCCGATGGATTTAGTGTAAAGACGTCATTAACAGTCAGAGAAAAACAGACTTTGTGCAATGCCAAAATAAAGGTATCGACAGATTGTAGTACCGTTAAAGTGCATATGTGTATAACAAAACTATTTATTATGATTTTAATTTACTGATAACAAAATCAATATTTATACCAATAAAAACAACATTCAAAGATCTAATTACAGTGTTGAATTGGTAACCTTTTAGAATAAGTTTATTTAAAGGATTGATAAGTTTACCCGGATCGTATATAAATTTCCGGGCTCGGTAAACAACATTACCGTAAAATTTTAGATGTGTTATTCCGTCCGAAATAAGTTTTTTACAGGTACAGCCAAACTTGCAAACCAAATCTTTGTATCTATGCAAGATTTTGGTCTCTAGTGGAGAGTTGTCTCATTGGTAATCATACCACATCTTCTTGTGTTTCCATTTGGTAACATTTTACTTACCTCCTTCAACTGAATATCCAGGTATAACATACAAATCCGTCGGTAAACCAACCTGGACATTTTCTCCTACTCCCTCAAGTATGACTAAAATAGAATGTTAACTATACTCATGGATTAACTAGAGGCTCTAAAGAGCCTGTGTCGCTCACCTTGGTATATGTGCATATTAAACAAAGGACAAAGATGGATTTATGACAAAATTGTGTTTTGGTGATGGTGATGTGTTTGTAGATCTTACTTTACTGAACATTCTTGCTGCTTACAATTATCTCTATCTATAATGAACTTGGCCCAGTAGTTACAGTGGAAAATATTTTGTAAAAATTTACAAAAATTTACAAAATTTATGAAAAAATTGTAAAAAATTGACTATAAAGGGCAATAACTCCTTAAGGGGTCAATTGACAATTTTGGTCATGTTGACTTATTTGTAGATCTTACTTTGCTGTACATTATTGCTGTTTACAGTTTATCTCTATCTATAATAATATTCAAGATAATAACCAAAAGCTGCAAAATTTTCTTAAAATTACCAATTCAGGGGCAGCAACCCAACAACGTGTTGCCTGATTGGTCTGAAAATTTCTAGGCAGATAGATCTTGACCTGATAATCAGTTTTACCCAATGTCAGATTTACTCTAAATGCTTTGGTTTCAGAGATATAAGCCAAAATCTACATTTTACCCCCTATGTTCTATTTTTAGCCATGTCGGCCATCTTGGTTCGCGGGCGGGGTCATCGGACACATTTTTTAAACAATATACCCTAATGATGATTGTGGACAAGTTTGGTTAAATTTGTCTCAGTAGTTACAGAGGAGAAAATTTTTGTAAAAGATTACAAAAATTTACGAAAAATGGTTAAAATTGATTATAAAAGGCAATAACTCCTTAAGGGGTCAACTGACCATTTTGGTCAAGTTGACTTAATTGTAGATCTTACTTTGCTGAACATTATTGCTGTTTACAGTTTATCTCTATCTATAATAATATTCAAGATAATAACCAAAAACGACAAAATTTCATTAAAATTACCAATTCAGGGGCAGCAACCAAACAACGATTTGCCTGATTGGTCTGAAAATTTCAGGGCAGATAGATCTTGACCTGATAAACAATTTTACCCCTGTCAGATTTGCTCTAAATGCTTTGGTTTCAGAGATATGAGCCAAAAACTGCATTTTACCCTATGTACTTTTTTTTAGCCTTGTCGGCCATCTTGGTTCGCGGGCGGGGTCATCGGACACATTTTTTAAACTATATACCCTAATGATGATTGTGGACAAGTTTGGTTAAATTTGTCTCAGTTGTTTCAGAGGAGAAAATTTTTGTAAAAGATTACAAAAATTTACGAAAAATGGTTAAAATTGATTATAAAAGGCAATAACTCCTTAAGGGGTCAACTGACCATTTTGGTCAAGTTTGACTTAATTGTAGATCTTACTCTGCTGAACATTATTGCTGTTTACAGTTTATCTCTATCTATAATAATATTCAAGATAATAACCAAAAACGGCAAAATTTCCTTAAAATTACCAATTCAGGGGCAGCAACCCAACAACGGGTTGTCAGATTCATCTGAAAATTTCAGGGCAGATAGATCTTGACCTGATAAACAATTTTACCCCATGTCAGAGTTGCTCGAAATACTTTGGTTTCAGAGATATAAGCCAAAATCTACATTTTACCCCTATGTTCTATTTTTAGCCATGGCGGCCATCTTGGTTGATTGACCGGATCACCGGACACATTTTTTAAACTAGATACCCCAATGATGATTGTGACCAAGTTTGGTTAAATTTGACCCAGTAGTTTCAGAGGAGAAGATTTTTGTAAAAGTTAACAGACGTCACGTGTAAAAAAATCTTCACATTTGTATGAAAATAAATGTGTCTGTGTATGATTTTGACGATCAGATTCGGGTCCTTAGATTTCTTTTGGTTGTTTATTAATATAAGGCAATTATAGTTGTGTTGGTGTTCTAAAAATAAAACTCTTCAAAATACTTTCATTAGAGATGCTAAAGGGTCGTTTTTACAGCAAAATTAAAGATGCATGTCGAAATTTGTTGTGTAAACACAGCTAAGTTAAAGACTTTGAAAACATGTGTGCTTGACATGAGCTCTGTTCAACAAGTCTAAGCATCGCAATATGACCAATCAGAATGAAGTTTAAGCTAAAATAAACACACATTCCTCAACATAACCGTACTTCATAAAGACAATTGAAATACAGAAAGTTTTAATGCCAAGTAAAACTCAAAAACAAATACAAGTGAGTTATATCATATAGAAGAGCATATCTTTCAAATATCCAGTCTCCATACTGCCACAAGAGAGACAAAAGAACAACCATCATTTAACATTAATGTATGGTGGACCCTATGATTTTGCCTGAACGAACCTATCTTCATCATTGGTCTTTTCTTATCGAAATGTTATCACCGTTTTATTAAAAATGCAAGTATTTGCATTCAGGCTTTGAACTTCTTGAATTTTAGATACTGCAAAACTGCAAAAAATGCCTAAATAACTTCATTTTGCAATTTTAGTGCTAAGTAAATGGCTCGTATCATACATCTTCCTTTGGGCTTGCCATTTATATAACGTTGCATCTGGATATAAGTATATCCGTATTTATTGCATTATCATGTGCATGCTCTTAGAAAGATAGTGCCCACATTGAAATGTGTGTTTGTTTTTAAAAAAGCAAACAGCTACCGATCTTGCAAACTTGATTCATTAGTTTATGCATAATGTTACATCAATATTGTTTTTGGACACAGAGTGGTAATAGTTACCTTGTTAAAAGGAGCTTTGCTAAGGTAAACAGTTTCAGCATTTTTTTTATTCTATAAAGCACGGTTGGTCAACAATTTTAATGGTGGTGCTAAGTAATGTGAATATATATATCTGTAAATGAAAATAAGAAACCAATATGTGATACATATAACACATAATATTTCCATGAACTAACCTGGATCATTTTTGTCGACAGAATCTGGACCGCCTGCACCAGGTCTGCAAAAAAATGGAAAGTATAAATAGACGCTTGCATGTATTTGCTTAAAAAGAAAACATAAAAGAAACTATAAGGTCCAAGAAGGTCGAGTCTTTTATCTTGTAATCACCCAATGTTTTAGGTTTGTTTCAACCCGTCAAAGTTAAAAAAAAAATGTTTTAAAGTATTATATCTACAAGATCTACCCTATTCATCCGATTTTGAAATATTAAGATTGGAAACAAGATTTTCAAAATGTTTTTCAACTGAAACAAAACAAAAGACATTTGTTACAGTAACTGTTTTAAAATGACACAAACAAACAAAAAACACATATATCCGCACAATATCCTTAAATTTGGATAAAAAACTATTTTCTTAAGTTTCATGGTCCAGTAGTCACAATTAGATCAAATGTAGGTCAACATGTCTTTTATTTTTAATCTAAAATTTCAATATAACTCTCAAGTATCAACCAAAATTCCGGCTCAATATCTACCAGGGGAGCAGACAATGGTTTAATGACTTAATGTCAAAAGTAAGTCAGCAAAGGTAAAATTTGTTTTAATCTGTAAATATTTATGGCAAAAAACTTTATCTAAAATCTGAAATCAGCAGTAATATCCATATAATATTTTGCTATTTTGAATAAAATATTGCATATGGCAGCTCTTGGAAATGAAGTGCCTATATAAATAGAAGATCAAAATGGAAGAAATATTACAGTATCTGTTCCTAACGGAATACAGAAAATAGAATCTTTCGTTCCGACAGACACTGATTTTATAGCATTGTTTATAATTCAGTCTCCACGGGAACTTCTGTGAGCCGGACAAATATATGTTGACAATATCACTGGACATAATTTTTAAATCAAATAAACCTTTTTCGTCTAGCCAAGGTTTAGAAAATAAATATTCCCAATATTTTTAGTTTGCTGAATACCGCCCCCCCTAAAAAAAAACAACAAAAGTTTTTAAATGTATAAACATGGACGTTATAAATTCCTACCATACATAAGTAAGTACATATAGGTTTACATGCATCAATTATTTATAATACAAACAAATCATTAGAGCAGGTATTACCTCGTGGAAAGTTTTAATATATGCTACTATAAAAATATAGGATGAATGATAAACATGGCTTACCCTATTTGTGCCATTTTGTAGTTCTGGTTCGTCAAAATGATTTATACATTACAGTTGGAAACCAACAATTATATTTCTGTTTGTTTTCAACGAATCAATAGTAATCAACGGTCAGAAATTTAGACCACTGGTCAGAGTGAGTGTGCCGTGTGCAAAGGTTTTTAATTTCTGACCGGCCAATACAGGTAACCTTTAGTAATTTCTTCAATTACTTAAATACCTTTGGGTTTGGTAATTTTCAATGACATACATACGGCTTATTAGGTTCATTTAATGTTACTACTATCACTGTAAGATTTAATTGTACGTGTATTGAATGTTTAAAAACTGTAGCAGAAAAATTGGATCACATCGTCAAGGGAAACAATTTAATAGATACATTTCTCCAGGTACTTTTCTGAGGCAAAATTAATGACCACATCAATTCCTTTTCCGTTTTACCGAAAGTTTGAACATAGTTTAGAGTTTTCCGACAACAAGTGAACAAGTGCAATAATTTTTTATCAGATCAATTGTCCGATTACCAGCATTTTGGAAATCCGAAGTTTTAAAAATAAGAAAATAAAATTTACAACTGCGCCAATTGTACTGGAAGATAGTTCACATATTATTGGATTAATTTTTACTATTTTGTTTTATAGAAAAACTTTACCCGTTATAGACCGTGGCGAAGTATAAAATTTATTAAGATATAAGGCCTTCCCTATTGCAAAATAAATGATCACGAGACGCAATATAATAACCATTCGGTTGTTGTCTGGATTTATTCTTTTTTTCTGAAGTTATATTATTTTTTTGCTTTGGAGTAGAAGGCGAAGACAAACCTATATATCTTAATTTTACCTTTAACTTCTATACTTTTCACAAATTCAAATTTCTTTTATGAATAAATAGTTGTCTTGACTAAAACGCTATGTTTAAAACAATAAATGAATGTAGTATCTTCCGTATTTGTTAACTTTTAATTTGTTATGTCCTCAAGCCTCTCGACCACCCATTGGAAAATGTAAATACAATGATGTTCGGAAAAGCCAGAGGTCTGAAATTCTACATTTTGTTTTATTGAAATGAAAAAAAAGTTTTATTACTATAATTCTTCTGAAAACCTTTTTGTTGTAGCTATGTAGTTTGTTTAGTCTATAACATATGAAAAAAATACTGTTGCTCAAAACTTTTATTTTAATATGACCAAGTAAAATTTGCTTATGACTTAATAAATACATTCGTATTTCTGTTTTTTATATTTTGATTTCTTTTTGCAGTTTTTACCCAGTGCTTTTGATTAAACTATTTGAATGTGTTACTTTGAATTTTTATCGGTTTTGATATCGAGTGACATGTTTTAATCCATTAGTGACTTATGTTCACCATGATAACAAGCTGAATTATCAAAATTAGATTAATAAATATTAATTATAATTATTCTTAAAGAATGTCAAATTTATAGGAATTGGGTAAATCAGCCCCCATTTTCATCTCGCTGTTCAGAAAGTACATAAAACACCTCCTTCATAACCCGGGGCAGTGGTGTAACAGCAATAACATATGAAGAACTGACTCGTCAGACTGACACGAGGCACGAAAAAGAATTAAACATAACATAAATCAGACCGTTAGTTTTTTCGTTTGAATTATTTTACATTTGTCATTTCGGGCCTTTTATAGCTTACTATAAAGTATGGGTTTTGCTAATTGTTGAAGGCCGTACGTTGACCTTTAGTTGTTAACTTGATTGTCCTTTGGTCTCTGGTGGAGAGTTGTCTCATTGGCAATCATGCCACATCTTCTTATTTTATATAACATAAAGATATATAGGACATGCACAAAGTAACGATCTTAGAGTATTCTCAGTTACTGAAAGCTAGGTCAATGCCAATTACAAGCCTACCCATCACCATTTCCCTCGATCATAGTTACTTATAATAATAGATCGAAGAAGTATACATATTTTGTTGTTATGTTCGATTAGCAGTGAGATTTTTCCATTTCTCAATTTTACTCTCTTCTCTGCATTGCAATTCTATACACACATGTTTTTGGCAATCAAAAACTATCGTCTTTATGTTTTTGTGCGTGGCATTGGTGTAAGAAGTCTTCTTTGTAGTTCAGTGGCCGATTTTAAAATGTAAAAAGGCATGATTATTTAGGATGTTTTAAATAAATGTGCATAAAACTTCATTTCTGTTACTGCAAACATTCGTTAATACAGTATTATTTTTTATTTGTAGCTGTGTTTTGTAGTTTACAATATTATTGAGTTATAAGTATTACTGTTTATACCCAATCCTCGATAGTAGAGGGACATTATGTTTTCTGGTATGAATGAAAAGGGGTAGGTCGAAAGCAAACAAGAAGTAAGGCGATGTTAACGTTTGTAAGAGGGGCGATTGAGTTTGTGAGCCGGAGGGAGGGGTAATCAAAATCAACTGAAGTACAGACAACACCATGACACACAAACTAAAGAAAGAACAACACGAACCCTACACAAAATCAGGGATGAAAACAATATTTCGGGAGGGCAAGTTAGTGCCTACTTCACCAGTGGCAACTTTTGTGTACTCGTCTGAAGTTACTAGGGTGATATGACAAATTCAGTATATTTTCATAAACAAGGAAAGGAGTATGGGTTTGTAGTTCCGACAGATTGGACCATTCCATTCAAGGTCTTCTTTGACGCAGATTTTCTTTAAAGGTCAACCGAGTTTAACAGGTGAATTCATCAATACTATTTAAACCCCAGGCGCCGCCTGGTTGAGTAGATTTTCTATCATCAGCAACCTTCTGAAAACACTAAAATTTCTCATCAATTGGGAGATTTACTCCTTATGTAGGCATTGCTGATGGAATGTTGTTAATCAAAAAATAAAATATCACATAGGGGAAATTGAAGTCAATCTTTTGATAACGAATTTTGTTTCTAAAACCGTAGATGTTCCTGTGGTATCCTGTAAAAGGGTATTTCCAAATAAATCCACAGTTTTTTTTTTAAATTCAATAGTATAGATATAAACAACATAGATTTTCAGATGATATTTATTATTTAGACATAAATACTTCTATGAACCCCTGATGACGTAATATAAATTAGAGTTATATATATCAAAAACATTAAGTTTATGTATTTGTTTATTGGTTATTATGCTATAGAAAATAAATAAATATAAAAATTCCCGTACTACACATGTAGAAGACTAAATGGAAGTAGACTGTTAAATTATTATTTTATTCATGCAGTGACCGTCACATTTAGATATATTAGTATATATGACAGATATATGACAGATAAACAGTTTGTATAAAATAATCTTAGAAAATAGTTATATATTGCATTTAAAGTCATGGTTGAAAATATCACAGAATTGTACACCCCCAACAGCACTGATCTGGATATGTCGGTGCATACACTTGACAGTCTAAGCCATATACAAAATAATTGAGGGTTTGGTCTTTATATTTGTAATCACACTGAGTGACTGGAACCATCCTTATTACGTGCCTCTGAAATACAAAAATAAAAAACATGTATTGAAAATGATACATAGCTCTTTTGAACTTTTGGAGTTCTGTAACAGTTACAGTCTGGATTATTTAGTAACCGACTTAAAATAACCCGGTCTCACTTGATATTACAGATTAAAAAATAACCCGGTCTCGCTTGATATTACAGATTAAAAAATAACCCGGTCTCACTTGATATTACAGATTAAAAAATAACCCGGTCTCGCTTGATATTACAGAATATAAAATAATCCGGTCACTTGATATTACAGAATATAAAATAACCCGGTCTCACTTGGTATTACAGAATATAAAATAACCCAGTCTCACTTGATATTACAGAATATGAAATAATCCAGTTTCACTTGATATTACAGAATATAAAATAACTAAATGTACTTAACTAACTAAATTCCCCAAGCATGAAAACATTTTGGGATTGGCTGTAATTGCCGTGATTTAGCACTGACACTTTAAAATGAAAGCGCCGAACTAAAACAGGTTTAAGTATCCGCAAAAAATTCAATTGGAAGGTTTAGCTACAAATGTTGATATAAAACCAGGGTTAAGCCACCAGTTTCTTCGGAAAATGCCTGTACCAAGTCAGGAATATGACAGTTGATTTTCACTCGTTCCGTTGGTTGATAACGTTTTATTTTATCAGATTTTATGGAATTCCCTTTTTTTGAATTTACCTTGGCGTTCGGTATTTTTATTATACTTTTTTTCCCGACATTTATTACGTTTTTTTTTGTGCATCAGGACATCAATTTCTCTTGTAAATATAAAATATGTATAAAACACGTTCATCGAAGTAGTAACCCTAGAATACCTACATTTCTTTATCAATTAAGATGTGATTATTAACCCCCGTCCCTAAAAAGATTGATGATTATTGTTTGCTATAACGTCCAGTGGTAAATGTTTTAAAACTTTAGTACAATATCAAATAAACAATAAAGCCAGGCAGGTTCTGAAACCGGCATGAAAATAGATGATATGTTGGAATGGAACTTATTACCCTGTATGTTTTAAAGGTTTGTTGCAATGATTTTTTAACCTGCAGGGATCATGGGCACTCTCATAAAATTCAACGTCCTAAATGCCAACAGAATGTGGCTGTCTGTTTATGAATCCTGCACAATTCTTGGGCACTTCTCTTAAGCATAAGCTTGTTCAATATATTCCACAAAATCTACTCAGTGGTATCTAATAGTTAAAAATATAATTCATATTCTGAAGACAAGCATTTTGAGTGTTTTGTGTGTATAAGGTAAAAAAAACGGAGACAACTTCCTCGGAATATGAAAAGTCTATTGTTTAAGGCAACCCACAACGACCATGTGAGCTAATGCTATTCTTTGCTGTAGGTCAAATAAAACCGTTTATTATATTCTCCATAGAAATCACAAAGGCGATTAGTAACGTTTCTACGCAACACAATCCTGGTTCAGGTTTGAGCGTTCATGGTGACGGTAAATACAGAAAAGAGCTTCGGACGCACGACATTTAAAGTTTTATTTTCATTAAGTAAAATAAACTTCAGAATTATATTAAAATTGTATTGAGTA